ATTAATCGAAATCTCGCCAAAAAGCTAACTATAAGTTGGTTAGTTTTAACAATTGATAATTTTCCACTGCAGGGTAGTGACATTCGAGTTTTGACACTCCCTTAACTCCTTTACAAAATCTTTTCACACACACACGAACCCACACAAAGTGCCTTGCTAAGGGAGTCGATTTTGTCAAGAGGGAGCGAGAAAACTGTATTCAGAGCAAACCTTTTATTATTGAATCATGGTTTTTTGCCATATTAAATTTTGTTCTGAGAACGTGCGGATTTTAAGTACCTGGGACTATTAATTTTGATTTTTTTTTTGCTGACGGTGTCACGCATTTTCTTCCATACAAAGTATAGTATGTTCGTTTTTATAAGGAGGAAAAGCACAATACCGTCAGCAAAAAGAATTGCCAAATATCAACGGTAAGTACTAGGTACCTAAAACTTGAGCTTCATTATTTAATATATTACAAAACTGCGCACGAGATTTTTTAAATTCCGAATTAAAAGTTTGACACTTTGATGCATTTTTGTTTGATTTTGGCCGAATTTTTATAAATCTTATACACAGATGGAAATTTTGATGTACATGGTTTTTGTTAAAGCTATACATTTACAAAAAAAAATAATAAATATTAAATTAAGAAAACAAACATTGCCCAAACTTGTTAAATCTCGCATACCTATTTGTTTGCCCGCCGCAGTACATACATACATACATATGTACATATACATAGTAGATACATCATTACATATGTATGTAATATATACAATGTATATTATACATACTCAAAGTAAATACCCGCATAGGTTTGCTGAAAGGTTGTTGGTTTTCACTACCATTTGGAATGAACAAACACCAACAAATTTTTTCCTCAGAATTCAACTAATTAAATGACATCAGATGTCACTTAACTCTCCTTTTTCGTTGAAGTTTTTTTATTTACCGCCTTCAAATAAGGCTCTCTATTCCTTTTGTATATTTTTTATGTTTATTCACACATAATTGTTTTGTTTCTGAACCGCACGAGTTTGATGTCCTCGGTGTCAGATTTGAATCCGCCAACTTATTTCGTTAGGTATCGCGCTTATCGATTTTTA